AAAAAGCAAACATCACTCTCGGTTGCCCCTCAAAAAAACACAAGTCCTTAAGAGAAAGAGCACGCATAGTGAAAATAAAAAAAATGTAAGATATGCCTCACACATACGAGCAACATGTGGCAGACACGTGTGTTTTCAAGCAGCTGTGTTTCATCCTCTCGCTTAACTATTTTCGTTCGTCTTCGAAAAATCGATGAAATACTTCCGACACGTCCCTAATTGTCGTTGGCAAGTGCCAAAATAAGAATAAAAAGCGAAGGTACACAGGAAGTGAATCGTTGCCCTTTTGTGTGTTTCGCCTACATTATTATGCCGACGTAGGCACTTCCTGCCTACTTGCAATACAAGTCTTTTGAGAGAGAGAAAGCATATGTGTATGTGTGTGTGCACTTTGATCTTCTATTGTATGCTACCATCACCCTTTATCGTTTTTATTGTTCTTTTATTTATTACATCATTTGTATCATACAATAATAAATTTACTCAGTAGCAATGGCTTTCTATGTCCCTAAATATAATTAGTATTAGTAATTTCAATGTCATATGTTCTTTTGTTGTCTCGTTAAAAATTCCAGTGAACATTCTTCAAATTGAATACTTTAATCATTAATTTCCGTTTCCCGCATACATCTCACTTTACAATGTAAAAAATAATATGATTTCCTCCATCTTAATCTATTTACTATTTCTCTCTTCCAATTAGATTTTAAGACGATACTATTTATTTCACAGATGGTAATCAAATTATTCATTTATACTAATTTACATGGTAATTTAAAAAGATAACCTTTTATGTTCTTAAAAAGATATATTACCGACATATTTCTATTTTCGTAAATTATTATATATATTGATTATTTGTAAATTGATTTTACTGTTGAAATAGAAATTCTTAATATATAATACGTACAGCTATTACAAAGTATATGAAAATTCAATATTTCGCGCTCATTTTTATCATCAACCAATCACAACGCTGGATGTCGGCAAATTGTTATTTTTTAAGATAGGATAGGATGTGAAATAGAAAAAAATTTTTTCTTCTTTTACCATTGCAGTTTTTTCTAACGTCCTCGTGCGTTGTTTTTTCTTTATCGAATCGTGATAATTTTGAATAATTTTATCTCGATAGGACGTGACATAGCTTTGAATGTCTTTATCGCGCCTCAACGTTAACAAGAAATACAGCCTCGACAAACGAACCCGGAAAGAAAATCAGGATGTACAATCGAGGGATTGAACTATCACACTATAATGGAGCTTGCGATAAATACAATTCGCAATGCAATCGTCGAAAAAGCTGCCATCATTTTAGCAACTTTTCGACAGTCAACACAATGTCCTTATAATTTATAACCCTGGTTTTTTTGCCTTTCGGGTAAAGTAAAAAAAGGAGGCCAGCGTTTGGCTTCGCCAACTTTTCTTCTTTATTTTGGCCGGTCGTGTAATTTCGCTTCGAAAGATCACGTTGGCTTTAGCCAAAAGTGCAACGGCGTACTCTTGCGCCAAGTTTCCGTTTTCGTGACACACTCGCAGACTCCCCCCTCCCCCTTCTCTCCTTTGTCGTGCACTTTGAGTTTTTATACACGATGGTGACTTGAAAAGTGTACTCTTAGATTTTGTTGAGATACTCTAATTGTTTGCTATCGAGATTTTCTTTCGAAAATTCATTCACACTCGAAGCTTCCAGTCTTCACACACATCTATTTGATACACAAAGTGTGAAATCATCCATGTAAAATAGTGAATCGTTTCTACTAAGTGTGTGCCAAATTTTTATAATCGACACACGTGCAATAATTCAATTGACCAACCGGAGAGGCAATTTATCATCCCACGAGCGAACTTTCCGATTTGAAAGGAAAGGCCTAATTTCACGCTTCAAGGCCCCTCATGCGCAGTACATTTATAGGGCCCTTTGTACACTCTCGTTTCTTAGAAGAATCGTGCCGATCAAATTGTAAACATCGTAATTTCTCTCTTTACCAACACGAGCGGTGTGTACTTGAGACTTTTAAGTTCGATACGTTGTGATATGTATTCAGCTGCTGCGGTCGGATGTTAATTTTATTTCTCAGGGTATTATAAAAAAGATAAAAATTTACGTTTGGAAATTCAGTTAGGTGAATCGCAATGGCAAACAATTTTCATTTCTCATAGAACAACAAAAGGGTTATTACAACAAAAGGTAGAATGATGCACCTTGCGAGAGAATATGGTCAGCAAAATTAATTTCATACGTTCCAACATGTGTAATACACAATGACGATGTCTCGGTCGCCGCCTCTCTCATTTGTCCCGTGGACGTTATCAATTTGCTCTTACCTCCCTCCCACTCGAAGCCAGACGCGCCTCACGTTTGAGTTGTCAGAAGCGTGTCGGACTGACTTTCCGTTATATCGTTCTAAACTAACATTAAAATGAAGAAAGAGAGGTAGACCAGCTTTTATGTTTTTCGAACAAATGCTTGTTTTTTTACAAACTCTGTTCTGCTGATAAACCATCAACGTAACGCCCCCGAAAAAAACTCATCTGTCGCACGTACGTGCAAAGATTAATTCAATTGACCGCGACCACAAAACCACCCCCCGACTTCTCACCCTATCTGACGCGAGGGGTGAGTTATTTTTTCGAAAGAGTAGGGAGAGAGTCGTATCAATAGCTCGTTAAGCGTGCAAGCCACTTGAGTTCGCGCGCAAAATTTATTTAAAACGATCCCTCGGGGCTCGTCGTATTTTAAAACCACCCCTTACTACACTTGTCGGCTTTTATACTTGGTTACAAAAGCCAATGCGAACATGTCGCAAGAGTATTTTCGATTGTGCGGGGAGTTTCGTTAATTTGCGATTGCGTGGATCTGCTCGAAAATTAAATTACGAGTAAACTGAAGAGAATTCGCTTATTCGAATCTCTGCAATGCGCACTGGCGACATTCAAATGCACATACTGTCATTATACTCTACCTATATAATTTTACCGCAGGCTTACTTTCTCAAAGTCAGTTTCTAATGCATCGCGTGAAAAACGATAATTGACGCACCTTTCAAAAATCATCTCCCACGCACAAGCACAGGTTGTGCCCTCGAGTCAAGTGAATGCGCCGAACTGTTTTACACTGCGCGCGCGCAAAGTCTCCGGGGGTCTCTCTTTTGTGGAGCGAGCCTTTCGCATCCCACGGTGATCCGAAACAACACCGCTGCTTGTATGTGCGCTGTTACTTCGCGTGAATGGCTTCGATTAAAGGGCGACGCTCTCTCTCTCTTCTTTTTTTTTTCGACCGCTCAATTTCTGTGGGAATGCAACGCCGAACCGCCTGTGAATGAACTGCACCGAGAGTGCGTTTAATTAGCTGTTTTTTTGGGTGCAGTTTGAGAATGAGTAATTTAAAGGATGCATGGCTTTATTTTTCGACTTCTATTCGCGCGTAACTGTTTTTTTTTTCGGTAATTGATTTTTACATTTGTATTACTTTCACGCTCTGGCGGAGGGTTTCATTTTGAAATTACAAATTTATAATGAGGTGCTTACGTGGCAAATGAAAATGCATTAACGAGGCTTGTGATTTACTATGTTTAGCAAACGAAAATCCTCGTAAGTTTAATCCAATCGTCCTCTTAGAACGTGTCGTTGAATACGCTAAGCTTGACTTGTTCGCAAAACATATCAGGAGAGAAAAAAAGAAATGCTTCTTCTCCTTCACCGCTGAGTTTATTTTCAGAATTCCTGATAAGATCACGCGGGAAATCCTCGGGCGTACATATTGCCAGTGCGTAGTTGTTTACGAAAAGCCGCTTATTTCCCCGTATAATACGCTGAAAATTAACGCATCGCCGGGTGACGTAGTTTAAAGCTTCCTCTTTTATTTAAAATTTCATCCGCCCCTTGGCAATTGTAAATGCAAGTACACGACGAATTCGAAACGCTCTCTTGAAAATTAGCCGCACAATACGCAGATTTGTATAATCAGGCGATCCGCCCACTCCGTCGCCCTGAATTCGCATTATTGAAGAAGGGGTCGCTCGGAGAGATTAATCTTCAACGATACAGGTGCCGCGTATGAATTGGCTTTAACGCGCTGTCGAACCCCATTGACAACGATCGTCACATCTACAACGTATTGTGCATGACATGGCGTTTATAGATGTGCTCTCTCGACACGATTAATCGCTGTTAAAGGGAGAGACATTTGAGACGTGTGTATTATCGTCCCTTCTTTTCCGCTACGTCAATCCGATGTCGCTGTGTAACTTAATTTTGGAGCTCGCGAAATCTATATTACCACAGAGTAAATATGCATCCTCCTCAAGGTACGCAATCTCCGTCAAGGTTTGTCTTAATATAGACATCCGCAAACAAGTCCCCCGCGAGAGCTTGTTAATCGAGCGAGTAGACAGTTACACATTCGCATATAGCCAAATTATACCTCGAGAGAGATTGCCACTCAAACTCCCCTTAATTGGAGCGCGAGCGATGAGCTAGTTATCAAAGTCGCTGGTTTAATTAGCGGCGTGCTCCCGTAAAACACTTTTGTCGCCTTGCATAAACACACACCGCTAGAGCACTTGTCGCCCATCAAACTTTCGCGCCTATCTTATATAAACATTAAACTCGCGCGCCTCTCGAAGAGGGATGCTACGAGTACTTTCTTCTTTTGTCACTATCGCGTTTCATGCATGGAGGGCCATATGTGCACCTCCACATGGTAATTCGAGATGACATCTCCCCCCCCCGGCGTTTTTTTACGTACGATCCGAAATCGATATCTAGTAAGCCTCGATACTAGAACTAAATAATGCACCTACATTTTCAAAGGTTTTTCTTCTTTATATAAGAACGTCTAAATTCTTTATGTAGGAACGTCGAGACAGTTTTCAATGAATATTTGACAATCGATTAAGCACTGCTTTGCGACATTTATTCATGCTCGTCTGCTCGACTTAACTGTGACGAGAAGCTTCGATTGGACAATCAAATAATTAAATGTATCTTTGTCATTGCAGAGTGGCATCAGCAACACCTACACAGATACTCTCATCAGCAGTCAACCGAAATAACGATCAAGCCTTGCTGAAGCTTCTCGTTGAGATGTCGCTGTCGATCCTCATCGTCTTGGCACATTTTGCTAGCGAATCACCCAGGACTTTGCCTAACACTATTAGTGCTAAGCCTGCTTGTGTACTGGCTGCTGCCTATACTGCTGCTACCCTTGTTTCGGTAAGTTTAGCTCTGTTTACTATTGGATATAAGGGAAATTCGCCGACCTCAACAGACTTATGAAAATCTAATCCGTATGATATTTTTCTAAATTCATTTTTTGTACATCTTAGCAACCTAAATATCGCATTTCGTTGTTTTCTTTGCATTAAAAATACTTAACTTCCCGTGTACGAGAAGATGTTTGAAAAACATATAGTACAGCACCTGCGAAGGGTCCAGCGTGACCACCTGCCTTCGTAGCATTTTATAACAATACAAGCTCGGCGGGATGTGTGAGGGAGGCAGGGAGCGAGAGAAAAAAAGAACGTACTTTTAGAAAAGCACATCCTGCTTCTCCACGCCCGCTTCCTCCCTATATATATACTAATATATATTGTTATGTAAGGATTTGCTTATGTGTATACGGAATGTACTTCGATCTTTTGAGAACATGAAAATCTTACTTATTTTATATACTTGTCACAGACACGGAGAGGAAATGCGGGCTGATGTTTCTCACGGATACAAGTTTTTTAATATAACTTCGAGTTCGTTGAGTTTGTGAAGCTTTTAATTGCATACTTTAATGAATCTCATATCTCATTTGCAGACTCCATTTCTGAATCCCGCTCGCGCACTCGGCCCGGCATTCGTCTTGAACCGTTGGGACAACCATTGGGTCTATTGGATCGGACCGACCGCGGGCGGTTGCATCGCTGCTTTACTGCACGAATACGTGCTAAGTGGGAATCGTCGTTCACGCGAGCCACGCGACCTGGACGACGCGGACAATTCGTCGATACGCTCGGACGACGAAACTTACGACGATTTAGAAAAGAACACGCCGAAGTTCCCAGGTGGTTATGCCACTTATCGACCAGTCGTCGGCGCCGCGTCAATTTACGGACCAACGCCAAGTGCATTGGAGAGAGTCGAGTCGATCTACGGCGGCACTAAGTCGCTTTACTGCAAGAGCCCACCATTAACCAGAGCTAATTTGAATAGATCGCAGAGTGTATATGCCAAGTCGACTTCGGGTACTCGAGACGGTTTGATTCTGCCAAAACCAGGTCCACTGGTGCCGGCGCAAAGTCTCTACCCGATAAGATTGAATAGCCAACCGATTACTAGAGATACGCTTCAGAGCAGCTCACCAGCGTCTAGTAGTCAACAACAGAGTCAATCTCAGCAGCAGCCGCAGCAGCAGCCACAGCAGACGCAGCAACAGAATAACCCACAAAACCATAACAGTGCCAATCAGAACATGCAAAACCAGTTGCAACAGTGCAATCAGAACATCTACGGCATCCGTGGAATCGCTGGTATCGGTGCGACTCGAGATACCATTTACGGACATTTAGGCACTAGTGCCAATGGTAACGTAGCTCAACGAGACAATATTTACGGGCGTGCACCTGCACCACCACCATCCACGCATCAAACTTTACCTACAAGAGAGAATGGACAAATACCAAGACAACAGCAGCAGGAAAATAGGCCGGAAAGTATGTACGTAAGACGCGGCGATGATTCGGCTTATGGAAGTTATCAGAGCTCGTCACGCGGTACTTATGGCAAAGCACCTGGACCACCGCCGCCACCGCATGCTTATCAAGGTAGACAAAGCCAAGGCAATCCTGGACAAGGACACTTTCAGAGACACTCGCCTAATCCGCCACAGCAGTACTGATGTACGAATGAAGCGGCTGTAAGTAGGTGTCCAGTGCATCAGCAACGTTTATGTAGCCATCGAAGATGAACTTTCATTTAATTAATTCTGTGAAAGGAGATGATGAATTTTTTTCTGTTCCTTTCATTCCTTTGTAATTATGTAATATATGTTAGATGTAGTTAATTTCGGGATATAACATGGATCACCAGTGAGAAAATATATTCTAAGTTTATTTAGTTCTTGATTGTTGAGCATCAGCAATACGATGGCTAATTTTTTGAAAGTACATACAGTGGTAACACGATTTATAACTATTAATGATATATTATAATAGACAACGAAAGGATTAAAACGCTATTTCATACAGTGAGTTATATATTGGAAATTTTAGAAAATTGTACGGAGAACAAAAATTAAAATAGCTAGACTAATTCACGGAAATGAGATTGATTTTGTTATACGTAAGACAATTTGTACAGATAGATAATAAAAACTCGTTTTTTTAATGTTAGTGTTTAAAATATGGAGACAATCGTTTTCTAATATTGAAATTCTTGCCATAAATGACAACGCACTCGTAAATTTTTCAAGACTGCCATCGAACCAAAGTGTGATAATATACCTTTTTTTGTACGGCATTTTTAACTTTTTGTACTTCCATAGACGATGATACTGTAATGTTTATTACTTCAATTTATTTTTTTCTAAGAACTGTCAACACTGAACTTAAGTAATGTATGAAAGAAAACAATAATTATTAGTCAAAGTAATAATTTATTTAAGGCGCATTTAAACAAAAAAGAATAAAGAGTTAAGAATTTGTATATATAAAATTACTTATTGAACTTGTATTTAAATTACTTTTTACTTTTATTAAATAGTTTTTAAATTGTAGATTTTTTACGTATGTTTACGTACGTAACCATAGTAAAAGACAATAAAATAATTACAGTTATAAATGTAAATTTTTATGAGTTTTATTTTATGCTAAACCTTGTAATTCAATGTATATTTGTTATACAAAAAATACGGACAGAGAAAAAACAAGATAGTGAACTCGTTTTTCGTTAATTTCAGAATTAAATTTATTTTTATTAATACATTCTAAAAGAATTAAAATTTAAAAACAGCAGCAGTTCATTTATCAGTTCCAACAGCTAATTAACACGTAAAATGTCTCATTACGAAATTTAAAAAATGTTAAATGACAACTAGCTTATATCATACTTTTTTTTAATTTCAAAATTACTTTCCTCATTCGTTGCGCATAAAAAGCGCCGGAGCACATGCATTATTGTCAGTAGAAAAACCACATGCATACTTGTACAACTCTTGCGGTTAGCTTTTTCATTTCTCTTTCGCTTTTTCCCGTTACGAGTTCGCAACCTCGACGAAAACAAAGCCGACCACTCATGCCTTCTCAATGTCCTGATGCATTTGCAGAAATGGCGCAGAAAATTTTTTTTTCTCTTTAGAAATTATTACGTCGCTTTTAAATATTACTTCATGAAAAAAATTGCCGGTTGATGGAATTTCAATATAATATGGCAACAATTATAAATTCAGTATGTCTGTGACTGTCTCTTTTACAAATTAAAATGAGGACAAGCATTTTTTTTATATTCAAAAGCACTTTACTTTTTACAATCGCTATGTAATGTTAGTTTTAATATCGCCTCGGATTATGAATTCATAATATCGTTTTAAATATTAATGTGAAAGAATAATGCTAAAAAAGCATACCCAACAAATTATTATGATTAATTTGATTTTCATTTAATCCATTTTGATGAGTAGAAATTAAGTCGATAGATAACAAGTATATCATCGTTCAAAAATTTTATATATGTGTGTGTGTGTAAACATCAAATTTGTCAAATGACGACCCATCATATTTATACTCTATATCAAACCCCGTAACATTTTATAATAAACTCCCTCTGCATTCTTTTGCATATAGACGTTTTTTTATCGATCAATTTCAATTTAGATTACATGTTCTTGATAAAGTCGTCGCCGTGAATCAACAAAGAGTAAAGTCGCGAGAGGCCCTATTATAAAAGCGTAATGCATATGTGTGCCAGTTATTACGTAAGTATCGTATGTGGCGAGTCATTCTGGGAAAGTTCTGCTGCGCGCGAGAAAAGAGAGCCGTAATTAAAAATATAAACTTTAATTGCTTGGTTGCGATTCGTAACAGCTCTCGCGATATTCGATTTTAATTGATTTTAATGAGATGAATTTGGTGATTACATGTTATCGCAAAATACTTGCTGTTTTTTGATTCTCGTAATTGGATGTTAATTTTTTTAAGTTTCTTTTATCTCGCGGATGGCCATTTAAATTCGCCAATACAAATTTATCGATATATATATATTAAAAAAAATGTACCAGCTAAGTGACTTCAAAATACTATACAGTTATACGCGTAGGAACGTATTATACACTCGACGCATGCGTAGTAGGTTTTAAAATATCCAACGCATTTAAGTTTGTATTTATAAACTAATGCTAAAAATAAGATCCAAACAATAATATGCCTCCGTTTTTATTTTATTCGAGATTTAAAATAAAACGCATCGACCGACCCCCCCCCCCCCCCCTCTAGCCAGCGAATTGTATTTTCGAAACTTATTGTATCTTTCACAGACGTACAAAAATTAACGTATGATTTTTTACGCATTTTTCAGTATTCGAAATTGAGTAAATATTTTGTGATAATTGACATAGGCAGATACACACACACATGCGCGCGCGCGTGTGTGTGTGTGTGTGTGTGTGTGTATAACCTTAAATTGTTATAAGCGTAGTCAATTTCTAAAAATTCACAATCGAGCTCACGATTTTTGTGAAAACCATAACACATAAATATTTTTTGAAGATAATATATATATATATATATATATATATATATATATATATATATATATAGCTATAAAATATGAAAACAAGAGAAAAGAAACAATTCACCTCTAGAAAATATTATCTCGAATCAGTCCAACGAGCGACTTTTCGTCTCTTTCTGGCTACGACTACAATTCATTAATCCTCGTCTCGTGTATACTACTTTACTCAGGCAGCATAACATAAAACATCGTCAATGTTTTCGTCGATGATGTTGTGGTGTCCTGCATCAATTACTTTTCAATAACGCACACGGTCGTCATTTAAAGGGGCCTCTCTCTCTTTTTCTCTTATTACTTTTTCTCTCTCAGTTAACCCACGTGTATGTATATGCTTGTGTCTATGTACTTGCAACTGGCCGGAAATCCGCCGGTCGTCTGTGTGCGCTGTCGTCGCGCGTCACGGAGTGGTGTCGCGTAATCATCAGATCGCACAGTGCAGTATAGACCTCCGTCGAAGCAGCAGCAGCAGTGCATGCATCATAAAGATGAGCGTGGACGCGTATGGGCCGAGTAGCCAAACGCTCACCTTCCTGGACACCGAGGAAGCTGATCTCATCGGAGCGGATACCCAGGGCAGCGAATTTGACTTCACTGACTTTACACTACCGTCGCCCAGCCAGACCCAAGCGTCTCAGCATGATCAAGCCCAAGCCAATCAACAGAGCCAACCCGTCCAGGTAAGTTTGTTTGACCTTGAATTGAGATAGGTCGTGCGAAATTATGAATATTATATTTTATATTCATGATAAAAAATTATGTTGATTTGTGCTGCTAAGCGCTAACCATGCGGTCACTTACTCGTTCTAACCTCAAATTTTTTTCTTCTCGCTTCTAGAGCCTTAGCTAGTTGATGCCAAGAATTTCAAGTATTGAGAATTTTGTAGACTCAAAACATTATATTTTACTTGATAGGTATTAAATAGATCTTAATAGGATGAAATATTGACGTAGGTAATTACTTTCGATGGAGCGCATGTCATTGTTGTGTAAGGGGCGTGCGTCTGTCTAAGATAAAGTTCCAAACTTGCTTGAGATCTATTTTATATTACAATCTCATTAGTGTGAACTATTAAAAAAATGTTATTACTATGGTAACTTCATGATTTACGTCTAAATAATTATTATATATTTTTTAATTTTTCACGATAAGCATAAATATTTATTGTCAAACCTGATAAAAAGCTAATTGATATTAGCTTGTACGATTTCAATAGATTTTGTAACACTCATACCATTTGTGAGTATTTGAAAAAAATTTCTAATCAATAAAAATATGAATCATTCAGCAATGTTTTGACGAATGATTAACATAATAGAAGTTTTATGTGATTCTTCTTGTATCTCGAGTGTGCCAAAAAAAATTATAAAATGAGCAATTTTGTATGACTTGCTATGTTTATTTTAAATCAGTGGAAAAAATGTATTTATTGCCATATTCTCTCATGCCAATATAATAATAAGATATTTAAAATATTTAATAATAAACATGTAAACAGCTTGAAAGTCGTAAAATTGTAAAATAATTAAATTACGTTTGAAAATCTGTAAAGTAATATTTACTAAACTTTGATTTATAAACAACTTCAACATTGCTATTTCTATGAGCTATAATTGTTGTATTTTATGATGCACTAGTATATGCAATTCTTATCTAGGTAATAACTTTTTTAGCCTTGAGATAACTGCCACACTTGACTGTATTCATATGCAATCAAAATCACTATTTTCCTGTAAAAGACTATTTTAACTTGACTCTTATTGAAATAATATATTTGAATTTTGAAGAAATAAAAAATTTTTCAATTTAATAGATTAATGGATCAGTTGGTCCATCAGCATTGGACCTGAAAATATCTGGTGCAGCTCACAATTTAGCAGAACTTCAATTTGAAGAAGAAGAAGAAGAAGCTTATTATAATCGAGATCTACCAGAGCATGCTTGTAAATATTGTGGTATCCATGAAGCATCTTGTGTGGTAATGTGTAACGTTTGTCGTAAGTGGTTCTGTAATGGCAGAGGCAATACATCTGGATCTCACATTATCAATCACTTAGTTCGTGCTAAGCATAAAGAAGTTACTTTGCACAGGTAATACAAAAGTTCCAAAGAACAGTTCTAATTAAAATAATCTAACATTTAATTAATTAGTTGAAAGACAGTGGGTTTGTGAAAATAAATACAAATGTTGGTGCTTTATAACTGATTTTTAATTTGGCATCTACTACTTAAACATAAGATTACATTTTACAGAAGTAATTTAGTTGTATAGAGATTGACATTAGAACATTTTAATTATTATAAAACCAGACTCATACTCACGAGAAACAAGTATAAGCAAGAGCAATAATTGTATGATATGGTAGCTTCAGTTGTCTTCATTTCACTGTATCACTCTTGATTATAGCTCACAAAGTCACATGTTGCAAATGCTACGCAATTCAAGAAAACAAAAATTTATAATTATTCAAAAGTTTATAGCTGTACATGTATATCATTCTAAATTACTTTTGTAAAACCCTTGCATTTTTTTATAAAAAAATTTACATAAACAATCAAATGTACTTTCAAAATAATTGAAAATACACAACATAAATATAACTCATGATGATCCATTTGATCATTTTTCATTTAAAATAACTACTGCATAACATTTAAAATAATTAATTTATTTATATGGATACAAATATTTGTTCCCTTTAATTAATCAAAGTGTATTTCTTTTTAAATCAGGGATGGACCTTTAGGAGAAACTATATTGGAATGTTACTCATGTGCAGTGAGGAACGTTTTCGTTCTTGGTTTTATACCAGCAAAAGCAGATTCGGTAGTAGTTTTATTATGTCGTCAACCATGTGCAGCGCAAAGCTCTTTAAAAGACATGAATTGGTAATTAAAAATATCTATTACATGTTCTGTAAAAAACATGCATATTACATTACAAATAAACCTTTGCATTCACTCAGGGATCAAGAACAATGGAAGCCTTTGATAGAAGACCGTAGTTTTCTCTCGTGGCTCGTAAAAATACCGTCAGAACAAGAGCAGCTTCGAGCCCGTCAAATCTCAGCCCAACAAATAAATAAGCTTGAGGAGTTGTGGCGTGATAATGTTGACGCCACTTTCCAAGATCTTGAGAAGCCTGGTGTAGACGAGGAACCACAACAAGTGTTACTTCGTTACGAAGACGGCTATCAATATCAGAATATATTTGGACCACTTGTACGTAACACAAAAAATGTTTAAATACAACTAAGACGACGTGTAAAATAATTCATACGCTATTTTTCTCGGTAGGTGAAACTCGAGGCGGATTACGATAAGCGTTTGAAAGAATCGCAGACACAGGAAAATATCGAAGTACGTTGGGACGTAGGTTTGAATAAGAAGACGATAGCATATTTCATGCTAGCGAAAACTGACGGAGATATGAAACTTATGCACGGTGACGAATTGAGACTGAGATATCTAGGTGAATTACATAAACCTTGGTCGGGTATCGGTCACGTCATTAAAATTCCCGATAATTATGGCGAAGAAGTTGGTATTGAGCTGAAGAATAATTCGGGCGCACCCATTGAATGTACCAGCAACTTTGTAGTTGATTTTATTTGGAAGAGTACTAGTTTTGATCGGTTAGTATCATAAATAATCATTTGAAAAATCTAATTTCAGTCGTAATCATCAATGATAATTATTTTCCTCAGAATGCAACTGGCACTGCGTAAATTCGCAGTTGACGACAGCTCAGTCTCGGCCTACATTTACCATCGACTCCTCGGTCACGAAGTCGAAGAGGTGCTTTTCCGTTGTCACTTGCCCAAGCACTTTAGCGCACCGAACTTGCCTGATCTCAATCGTTCGCAAGTCTATGCCGTAAAACATGCAATTCAACGTCCTTTGTCCCTTATTCAAGGACCTCCAGGAACTGGTAAAACCGTCACCAGTGCCACTATTGTTTACCAACTTGTTAAGCAAAACGGTGGCCCAGTTCTTGTTTGTGCACCGTCCAATACTGCTGTCGATCAGCTCACTGAGAAGATTCACAAGAGTAATTTAAAAGTGGTGAGATTGTGTGCCAAGTCGAGGGAAGCTATCGATTCGCCAGTTAGTTTTCTGGCTCTGCACAATCAGATTAAGAATATGGAAACTAATACGGAACTACAGAAGCTTCAACAATTGAAAGATGAAACTGGAGAGTTGTCTAGTATAGATGAAAAGAGATACAGGTTCATTTTCGATTTTAAATAGTTATAAACTATTATTTCATTTATTTTCATTAATCAGTTATTTAATACATTGTTATTCGTTTCATTTTAGACTTTTGAAAAAGGCAGCTGAAAAGGAATTACTCGAAGCAGCCGATGTAATTTGTTGTACATGCGTGGGTGCAGGTGATCCTCGCTTGCACCGGTTGAAATTTCACTCCATTTTGATCGATGAGAGTATGCAAGCTACAGAGCCCGAATGTATGGTGCCGGTAGTGCTGGGAGCCAAGCAGCTTATCCTTGTGGGTGATCACTGCCAGCTTGGACCCGTGGTCATGTGTAAAAAAGCCGCGCGTGCCGGACTCTCGCAATCGCTCTTTGAAAGACTCGTTGTACTTGGAATTCGACCGTTTAGGCTTGAAGTGCAATATCGTATGCATCCAGATTTATCGAGGTATGTAATAAAAACTTTGAATTTATTATAAAAACAGACTTAGAGAGCTATTTATTATAATTGATGTTTAATTACTTCATCTTTCAGATTCCCATCGAACTTTTTTTACGAAGGTTCGCTGCAAAATGGTGTATGCGCAGACGAGCGTAAGCTTGTGAAAATCGACTTCCCTTGGCCAGTACCCGATAAGCCTATGTTCTTCTACGTAACTCAAGGACAAGAGGAAATCGCTGGCAGCGGTACATCTTACTTGAATAGAACTGAAGCATCGAATGTAGAGAAGATCACGACGCGTTTCTTACGTTGTGGAGTGAAACCTGAACAAATCGGTGTTATCACCCCTTACGAGGGTCAACGTGCTTATCTTGTACAGTACATGCAGTATCAAGGATCTCTACATTCGCAGCTATACCAGGAAATTGAAGTAGCCAGTGTTGATGCCTTCCAGGGTAGAGAAAAGGATATCATTATTATGTCGTGTGTAAGGTCTAATGAACACCAGGGGATAGGTAAGTACAAGTTTTCAGGAAAACTTGAGTTAGTATTTGAGAAGTGTATTTTAACATTTTGAAATTGCAGGTTTCTTAAACGATCCAAGAAGATTGAATGTAGCCTTAACTAGAGCGAAGTACGGGATCATCATCGTTGGAAATCCAAAAGTGTTGTCGAAGCAGCCTCTTTGGAACCATTTGCTGAGCTTCTATAAGGAACAAAAAGTGCTGGTTGAAGGCCCATTGAATAATCTTAAAGAATCGATGATACAATTTGCCAAACCAAAGAAACTTGTGAACGCCGCCAATCCAGGATCGCACTTCATGTCTACCTCCATGTATGATGCCAGGGAAGCTATTATTCCTGGTTCCGTTTACGACAGGTGAAAATGATTTACTTATAACTACTTTAAGCAGATATAAATAAGTATTTGAATTCGATATTAACAAAATATTTCTTATGAATGAAGATCTGGTGCTCAAGTAAATGGCGCACAAGCACACAATCCTTATTATCAGCGAAACGTACCAATTGATATCTTCAGTCGTACTCACGACACCATCAGTTACATCAGTCCTGAGCGAGCACAAGCAGCTATGAACAATGTACCCGTACCTGTAGGTATGTTCATGAACATGGCACACGTTCCACCACGGTTCTATAATCAACACCAGCAGGCATTGCAAGCTCGACAGAACCAACGTATGCGACGTGGTAATAACATGAAAGGTAAAATCATTAAAACATGATTCTTTTGAAATTAATTTCTAGAACAATTTTAATTGAAAATTTCTCTTAGGTAACAAAGTTAGCGGAGGACCACGTCTTGGTAAACTTAGTCAATCAGATCAGAACACGCAACCATACAGCCAGCCAGGATTGCCACTGACTCAAGGTACAACACAAGGTATGTCACAGCCTGGTTTCAGTCTGTCTCAGCCAGGATTGTCGCAAGCTGAGCTGTCACAAGACTCGTTTGCCGTCGGAGAATTTCAGTCGCAGATGGACGGTTTGCTGTCCCAAGACTCGACTTATCAAGGAGACCGTAGTGGTGAGTAATTGCATATATGAATGAAAAGATTTTTCGACGAAAAATTGCACAGAAACATAATTAAATTATCGGTATTATTCTGAAAATTTAGGTTTCTATCAGTCCGGGCAATCGCAAATAGGAGGCCAGTTCTCCCAACCGTATTGAGCTAATTCAATGTGGCTAAGCAATGCATTCGCCATGCAACAGCGTCGCGGGAGCGACTGAGAAAGCTCGAGATAGTTTCGAGATCAAATCTTCATCGACAAGCAAACGGATAAAACAAAATAACAATCAAATCACTCTGTAACTGCGCGCGAGAAACGGTAAATATGATCCAAACCAAAACTCTACGTGAGAGGGAGTTCCATACACGTAAACACGTTTTGCGAGTTTGTAAAAAAAACAAACGAAAAAAGACGTCAACTAATGTTTTGGACATTTCTCTTGTTTGAAACAAAAACAAACAGAAAAAGAGACGAGGTTTTTTAACAGTAATGACGAGATATAAAACAATCGTCTAAAATAAAAAAAAATAAGAAATACAAAAAATAGGAAAAACAGTAATAAATACAGAAGGGAAAATATGTTTTTTCTTGTGGATTCTCTCTCGGTCTCTATTTGACTCGATGAGAAAATTGGAGACAAGGGTAAGGGATTAATCACCGTTTCACATAGCGGAGTTGATACTGGGATTAGAAACGAAACGTTTTTAAACTAAGTAAGGGAAAAAACAAATGACGGATAATGATTCAATGTTAATATGACACTGGTTACGCGCGTTAACAAATGTTCATAATAGAAGCCTAAAAGAAAATTTTAAGATCGAGGATTTCTTTAAGCTTGTGAAGTTAAATTGAACAATGACGGAATAATTTTGAGGAACTTCGTTTAATCAAATACGTGAGAACGAAAAATATATCTTCAGCCTCACATCTAACAAGAAAGATTACATTTATCATACCGAGCAGTAAAATTTTATTGTGTTACCCATTCATGATACTAAATTTTTCTATCGTTTCCTTTTTAAAACATTTTTCTTGTTATCTATGTAAAATTATATTTCAGAATGACATTACCTAATAACGAAGTTTTGAATTATAAAAATAATAGTCTTGATATATATACGTGTAGTATTTTTTCTTATTGGACGAAATCATGAGCTCAAGATATTTTTTTAAATTATTCCTTCATTTGAGAAAATAAAAATCAATAAAATAAAAATTATACGTTAGTTGAAAAAAAAGTAAAAAAAAAATAAGAAAGTTTTATATTTTTGGTTTTACTATTCTACTTTATTAATATCGCTAGTTTCACTGGATAAATAAAATATTTTTTAATCTAGTGAGTTATTAAAAACAATCTAAGTTATTTCTTTGTATTCAATAGGAGATACAAATTAAAGAATTTTGCTCTTATTTCTGTAAATCTGCTTGGTTACACGTATGAAATGACATTTCTCTATTACTGTTCAAACCTTGGAATGCGTTAATTTTACGTACAATCTAAATGTTAGGTATTATCTAAATCACACACAGAAAAAAAATTTTGCGCAGATGTTGTCAAGCCTAAAATTATTGGTTTTCTGTTTTTATTTAAATGATGAACTAAACATTACTATATGCAGATTGTACAAAATTTTGAAAAATTTATTGTAATCTCTTGTACCAATAAATTTAATTTGAGACTCTAACGATAATGTTAATTTTTTATTTTAATAAATTTTTAATAATTATAATCGAATTCCTAAATTTTAAATATTTATTTTAAATAAAAAAACCACTAAATTCCTGTGAAAATATTAATTTATTAGATACAATAATCATTTTCCGAATTCATGTTTCAACATATTACAATTTATTATCTGATAAATATTATGTGGGTACGTAGAAATTTTCTATATTTAACAAAATTGATAGGGTCCACTAAATTTAAATTTGACTTTAAAACCATGTAGTGTATGTATACATACAAATTGATTTTGATTTTTATTACAGGAAGTGGGTTCTACAAAAATATTCAAAAGGGCAAACGCAATTTCGTTATAAATTGAACTTAAAGTTTATATAATTAAGCAATAATTAACTAAGTTTTTATAATATATTATGGCACAATCATCACAGATAATTTTATCAAAGGTTTGCCCTTTTAATCACAAATAATTTCACTTTTATTTTGATTAGGCTGATTGTAACTGTGTGACAATGTTTTCAAATTACATGATTAAATCTGCACTATCGTAGCGGTTGTTGAAATATTTGAAGCGAATGGGGGAATGCTTCTTTAGATGTCACACAGTTTATATAAATATAATTTTCTCTCTTGATAGTATTCAGAGGATAAATTTTAAACAAAGTTTCTCAGAGATGACAAGAGATAACTTGTTTAAACAATAATGATGTACTAAATTGTTGAGAAGTTTTTAGTTGATAAATGATAAATAAACTGTTGAACACTTCACTTAAGTTGTAAATTTTTTAGTTCCGTAACTTTTTTAACGTGAAAGCTATTGCTATTTGTTATTGTCGTTATTTAGAAATTTTGAGAAGTTAGAAATCTAAAAAACTTAACTTATCTATTTGAAAATGAAAATGGATGAATTTTGTGTAGTTTTCAACAATTTAGTACCTTAATATAAATTCACCAATTACGTTAGGAAACTAAAGATACTTGGATTGTTACATATAAGATGTACAAGTTTTTTTCATATGCAACTATTCCAATAAAACCGTGCATCAGTCAAAGTTGTTTACAAATACTAGATGCACATACAGAAAATATTTTTGATGTGTATTGAGCCTACGTTAATTTATCACCGCAGCGGATTCGGATGTGTTTCGAGAAATGAAGAATAACTTGTAAGTATATTTACAATAAGTGATATACTAACATACATCTGCAATTGTTAATTTTTGGTCATAAGAAATGTTCAATTTTATTCTTTTTACGGCAAAATTTTTAAGCTGCAGTTATTTCAAACGTTCATTCAAATAATTCTAACTTAATCCAAACTTACAAATGAATTTTTTTTTATTTTAATTACTTTTTTAAATATGTTTATTTACCGAAGATTTACGATTTTTAACTTTTTTTAAATTTTTTTTTCAAGCTAATAATAATTAATTTAATTACGTAAAGAAACACAAAGACACTCACACAAGTTCGATCCAACGTTATTTCTGTAAAAAAAATTATAAGTTGTTGATCAAACTAAAGCCATCTCATTATTATATTTATTAATTTATGTTACATTTTTCGGTCGATTTGTTCCTCTTCTTTATATCAAGATTTTATTATTTTGAGATAAATTTATTGCTCTAAAATCTCACCTAAAAGTATTACTTTTTGTTTGTGCATGAAGCTTATAAATAAAAAATTAGCTTCGTATTATCGGCCTTCATTCGTCTCATGATGGTCGATAAACGAGATTTTAGTTGAATAAATGCAACAATCATCAAAATGTTTCTTTATCAAAAAATAGATGTACGATTCGTTCATACCGAAACTAGGCATACTTCCTGCTTCGCGCAAAATAATGATTGCGGAATTCCTCGACGAAAATATAATCTAAATATCGTGTATAACAAAAAATAAAGCTTCGGAAGACGAATATTTATATGTATAGAAAGTGTACTCTAACGCGATATTATAATACCGATTTCTTCCTTATTCGTGCCATTTCATTAAGTCCTACTGGACGTTTTTAAGATATTTTTCGAACAACTCCTTGTTTTTATACATAAATAAATAAACGCGTTCATTTAATATTTACATTAGTATCACCGAAGCCACATTGATGTGGCGTATCAACCAAATCATCAATCTTTGATATCAATCTTTGTGAAGATACTGCTAAGGTCGTTATTCTCCTTTAATCGCTTGTAAGTTTCTTTGAAGATATCCTTGATCTTTTGAAACACTACCAGATCGTAAACAGATCTTGCTGTGTTGGTGAAGTCAAATGGTTCTGAAATAAAAACATACACTCCAATGATCTTCGCGCATTGGTTCAATTGTGACATTAATTACCTTCAATACAGAGATGTTTCCACTGATGAGGATCATTCTTGAGTGATCGAACAAACCGACATGTTTCAATCGGAATCTTATCAGCTACACGAATTGAAATGGCAAACTGATCGAAACTAAAATCAAAGTTTAAATTATAATTATGACATTGATAAAATAAATAAAACTGAAGTCACTTACTCGAAAGAATCATAATATTTGAAAAACTCTATAAGAAGTTCTCCTAATGTTTGCATGTTTTGCACCTGCCAAGCATCTTTAGGAATAATTAGTTGTTCTTGAGTATCAATTTGAAAAATGTCCGATAGAGGATGGAATTTGGTTTTGAAAAGATTATGCAAACATGGTAAAACTGGAGGACTAATTCCGCATTGTAAGAAATGAATCACCATAAGGACTAAAGAGTAACTGGATATTGTCATGTGCCTTGCATCATTGATATTTTGACACTGAGCCCACATTTTAACAACAATACCTAAAGGTCTGACTCTCCAGTCAACTAAAATTAGATATGACGTTAATAAGAAGTAAATTTAACAAGTGTCATACTTTAAATCAGCTTACTTTGGGAGTAACAATGTAAAAGATGAGTGTTTCTAATACCAACTACATTATTATAGTTCAAATCGACATCCAAATTATATTTGTTATCGCGTATTTTCAGTATTGGTACTTTAGCCTGAATTAGTTCCAAGCCGCTAATGTATTCTATAAATCAAGTACATAACGAAAATAAACCATTCAATAAACGAACTTTACATCATTATCATCTTTTACTCACCACTTCTTCTGAGACACGACATAATTTGCCCTAAGCGATAAATAGCTTCGGTCCTTTGATCATAGACCATTTCTTTAACAAGAAGGCACATGTCTACATCACTGTTATCAGTCCCAAAACCATTTAGTGTGGAACCTACCAGGTACAAACCATACTGGGGGAATTTAGTCTATAACGAAACAAAATAGTTTTCAATCTGTTATTAACTTTATCCTATCACATTTTATATTTACCTTGATAAAGAAAAAAAGATATCTCCATAAGTACATTTTATGACAAAAGGTACGTTCAGTCAGTTGATTCTGCTCAAACTTTTCCCATATAGCCTTTGATAATTTGTCATAAACTGAGCCTGTCAGCAAATTACTTGGCCTCTCTTTTGGCTGAAGCATGTGGGACCTTTCAAGAAATTTATCTACTGGACTAAATTTTACAAAATTTACATGTTTTGGGAGAGCATTGACTTCTGTGTACATGCTTCCACCAATTTTTTTGCCTCTGTAAAGTCGCTGTGACGTTGGACTGATCCTTACTGTTCAATTTAAATTATTATTATAATAGATAGTTATTTTAAAGTTACAGAAACTATTGTTAAAGAAATTTACCTGGATTATACTTTCTTCTGTTTTGGTGATTTTGAGTAGCAATTCGAGAGGTCAATTCCGGAAATTCTCGTAAGTTTGGCTGGCTTTGATACAAATTTCCAGCAGATAAACTTGGGGCTAAATTCCCTCTGTAATAATTGTTATTATATCTGAAATTTTTATTTCTGAAAATAAAATATTGACTATTAATTCCTATATTATCGAATAAACCAATGAGAAAAAGTATACTTACTTATTGTACTTTTGCTCCGGCAAAGAAGATAAGGAATCTTTGTCATCTGAACTTTCTGTGCATGTATTTGAACTTTTGAGGTGCTTGTTTGGAGTTGGTGATCGTGAACTGACACTACTGTCGCTATTATTATGCGATTCTTGATGTGATGGTATATCATGATATGAATGCCTTTTTCCTAATTTATTACCATTATGCCAAGTTTGCTTTTTTGTAGATCCTGCGCTCATTGGTCTATAGTTCAATTTTCCTTGTATTGGTGTTACGGGAAGTCCATGAGATGCATTCATGCGTTGTGGAGTAGATGGTCCATTCAATGGAGAATTCAATCTATGTTGCCAATTGTTTATAGCATGCACTGTATAATTACTATTTTGAGCTTCTGTATTAAATTGATGAATAAGATCTAATGGATAATTTCCATGCTATAAAATATACAATATTTTAATAAAAAAGTTATGAAATATATTTTAGTTGAAGCATACAATTACAGGATAAAAAGCATTTCTATATCTTATACCTGTCCATTGCGATGTCTACTATGATTTGAAGCATTACGATTAATTTGAATTAAATCTGGATGAATATGATTGGGACTGCCATTGTAATAGCCGTGATTTTGCATAGCAGGATGATATTGTCCATTTGACTGGTAACTGCCAATTACATGCACCATTGTGTGAGGCAAAAAAGGAGACTGCATGTTGAAGCTTTAGTTTTGGCAATTTAAACTTGCAAAGAAGTTGCTTAAATAGGTGATTTTGTTCACCTTTTTAGGATACATTAAACTTTATTTCCTCACTGGTAAGAAAGATTGTAACAAAATATACTTCTTAATAGTTTGATTTAGGAGTAACTACATTAATTGATGTATGTGAACTGGGATGTGATTTGAGAAAAATTATAAATTTCTCATTGTTAAACAAAATCTTTCTCTTAAAAATTGGAAAATTGATAAAAGCATACAAAAGACAAAAACTCATGGAAATTCCCTAAACACTTATTAATAATGATTCGTTTCATTTTTAAATTAAAATAGTTAAAATTTGAATACATAAACATTTATAATACTAACGTTAAAATTTGATAATAGGTTATAAAATCAGAACTAGTGAAAACAACACGAGCAAAAGCAAAGTGTTTGCGTGGATGTAATGAGTAAACAAAAGCAGAGAATACAATAGGTATAAGCAATCTTCTATGTAAATAGTACGAGCATTAACGAGATAAATACCTGAGCACAATAATATTAAATATTACAAGTCATTTCCAGATCAAAGATAATTTCTTCTTACGTCTCTTGATAAACTAAATTTTACAATTTCATGATAGGACGTGATTTTCCTCTGGACTCCTACTCTCTCAAGTCTCATTTATACGCGCGATGCAACAAAGCCAATTGGAAAATTTTCACTTCTCCTTTTTCACACACATGCATACGAAGACGCGGTCGCGTCGAAACCGTTGTGGTAAAAAAAATTCGATTTCGCGCTATGAGAGCGATATCAACTTCGCCCCCGTTCGTTAATTAGCCGGCACTTAGTACAAGTTCATGACGCCCACCATCACCGTGATGACGTCGTCAAATTTCGAGTTTTCCAAGTTGGTTATCTGTTGTGAGGCAGCCGCCGCACGGGCCAACAATTACAAATTATTGACGTCACATTACGTCAGTGAAAATTTTTGAAGTATAGCAGAAAATTTTTTAATTTTATTTACATAATCATTGTAGATATAATAATACGTTTTAAACAATTTTCACTATTATGTTGATTTACTTCATAATTTTACAGTGATTAAGGTGGTAAGAAACTACTACTGAAAATGAAATTTGAAAAGAGGTATCAAGACATAGTCACGTTCAATAATAGAATTTGAGGATGTAAATATAAATTTTCCACGTATGTGCTGATAAATTATGGCTTTCACACTTTGGACTCTTTTTGAAGCCACTCTTTTAATTTTAAATGCTGCCTGTATTTTGCACGAAGAGAGATTTCTTATGAAATGTAAGTAAAATAATGTATATGAGCATTATACATAAAGAGCATTAATTTCTAGGGTTTCGTTTAGAGGTTATGTTTTGGTTTGTTAATTTCATAAATGTAATGCAAACCATTAGTATGTCATTCTACATTTTTTTATTTTAGTCTTATAATTCACCTGTGGATTTAGAGAAACGTTCATGTATTACAAAAATTTTATAAGTAGCAGTCTTTACTTTCTTTTAACTTTAAAAAAATCTTATTCAAATTTAAAATATTAGTTGTGTATATATATTTTTTGCACAGTTTATAATGACAACTTTTTTTAGTTAACATGCAAGATGAAAATTACATTTGAATCATTACTGTTTATGTTTTATAATTTATGTAAATATTGTTACTTGACATTGTAATTTTTGCAAACACTTGCTGATTTTATAGTGTTTCTTACATCTGTTACAAATAAAATAATTTTTTTGTAGATGGCTGGGGTGCAAACCAAAATATTCAGGGATTTGGAGAACCTCCAACTATTAAATCACAAATCTTAAATCTACTCAGATCAATACGTACAGTTATGAGAAGTAAGTACTTTAATCTTAATTATCCAATATCATTCCATTCATCAACTAATATATATATTAATTGTTTTAGTACCTTTGATTTTCATCAATCTCGTTACAATATTTGTGAAACTAATCCTTGGATGATGAGATAAACATTCCAAAACAATGTATATAACTAATGAATGAATGCTGTATTCATAACTGATAAAAATGGTGTGATGAATTTGAAGAATATTAATAATTTATTTTTTACAAAATTGTACAAAGAATAATAAATAATTTTTTCTTCGTCTTAATACAATTTATCTTTATTTTTTTAGAATTGTATTTATTTAGAATGAATTCATCTGCACATTTATTTATTGTTTCCTTAAACGAACAATATCTACATTTTCTATTTATTTTCTGAATACAATTTAATCTTTACAACAATAACTTTACAGTCAATTATGCATTAAATTTTCTAAATCTATATTTCTCTCAAGTTTTTAATTCTATAGAGCAGTAGAAATGTGTGAAGTAGATGTGATTTACTGCTGTAAATACAAAATTTATTTTGTTTAGTTAGTTATATGAACATACATCTTTTCAGATAATACAGAGGCTTGATCAATAAGAACATTAGAATAATTATTAAAATATTAATTTATATGTATGTCGAAAATAACTATTCAATATTGAATTTTCAGCAGCAGTTACGATTCTTTGATATTAATTGTAATAATCAATTAGTAAATACAAATAAATAACGTGTAATAATCATCAGCAAATACAAAAAAACAATGAATTTTTCTGAAAAGAGTCAGAAAATCCTCGCACCTCGAGAGTTCATCATGCAGAATCTCAGCGTTGCAGATTTTCTGCAACTGAAATGAAATAAATGAGAAAGAGCGCGTCTGAAGTAATTGGGCCAAACTTTCTTTGGTTGCAGCATTGAGTCACAACGTCGGACGAGATTATAATGATTTAATTCGCGCAAAATGCGCTGCAATAGCGTCAATTTCGCCGCTGCAGCTTACCTTTAATTGCTCAACTTTTCCTGGAGAACTGCTTTTTGTTTTATGGTTAATAAACTCTCCGCGCGCGCGCGCTTAATCATTATATGCACGGGCTATGTCGAATCGTATAAATATTTGATTGACGGGAAATAATTCCCGTTGAGTTTTGATCGATTTAGAATCGACGTTATAAATATGCTGATTTGTGATTGTAGTTTTTCAATTTCACCGGAAATGTTCATCCTGGAGCGAACACAAAATTCGCTATGTAAACTGTAACTCCTTCCTTGTGCTCAAGCTTATATTCTAATTTATAGTCGTTGCAAAAGTATCAATTTATGCTCCGGCGATGGCATCACCATAATTATCTCAAATCAGTTTTTGCCTTCGCACTCACGTGCAGTGCTACCATGTAGTTTGTTATGAGACACTAATGAGAATTTTTCACAGCGATTTTCCATTACACGTAATCTCTCTCTCTCTCTCTCTCTCTCTCTCTCTCTCTCTCTCTCTCTCTCTCTCTCTCTCTCTCTCTCTCTCTTTCTCTCGCTTATTTACTAATTTTTCATTCACATTGGTTTTTCGGGAAGTCGTTGTTTTATTATCTTTTCCCGACGTAATAGCCTTTTCTATACTAAAAAATAAAAATTAATAAACAATCCTCATCTCAAACCGAAAACTATTTTTCAATTTATAAAAAATTCATACCGGTCAATATCAGTGCTCACTCAGGATTTATCCATTCATCATGTATAAGCTTCTCGCAAAAAAGAATAAAAATGGTTTGTGCAGCTCCCGGTCCTAATTACGCGTCTTCCCTTAGAAAAAAAAGGTGCACCACTCGCAGTGCCACTTTCGAATCCTAGGCGCTGCTACTATATAGTTGTTTCGCAACATCGTTTCACGGCTTGAAGAGATGCAAACTCCTAGAATTTGCGTCACCCGGGGCGGCTACGATAGTGTATAGTGAAAGGACCGTAGTCGTCTTGAGAGAAAGGCGCATCTTCCACGCGCGTGTACACACGTACACGAGAGAAAGATTTATTGCTGTAGCAAGGGGTCATCATCTGATAAGGAAAAAGGGAAAAGGCACCTCTTCCTCAATAATGGAGAAAGTCGTGCATTTAATCTCTCCGCGAATAAAGAAAAAAAGCTACCTGCGGATAGGTGAAGTAAGACAGTCAAGATAATTGTCGTTTCAACGGTGGCGACGTGATTTTTTTTATTTTTCTACAAAAAATTAAGCCTTTATACAAGTACAAAAAATCCTCGGTTGGTTACGAACACGATAAAAAATAAAACATTAGCGCATAATAATACACAAAAAAATTGTTATACGAGTACGAAGTAAAAAAAAACGAGTTTTTGAGTATCTTGTGTGCGTGTGTTCATGTGTAAATCCTCCTTGTCTTATCGATCGACAAAAAAAAATATAAGAGTGGTCGTGTGTAACGTGTGTAATTATTTACAAGAGCGTTCATATCTGCGCGAACGCTTTAGTGTAGATTTGATCACTTATTTTTATTGGCGCTTGGCTTGGATATATATGTATATCCTCCAGCTTCGTTCTTATTGTATCCGTTGTCTTTGCGCCATTGCGGTACCTTCAGCGACTGCATTGTACTATCTCGGGACACTTTGACGACATCAGTGTTTTAATTTTTCTTTTTTCCTTCTTTTATGGTCCCGCGAGGTCAAGGCTGATCGCCTCTTCACTTTTAATGATGCTTATTAAAAAAAATCAAGAAAGAAAAAAGGCTGATGTGCAGAGAGAAAAAAGTTGTGTGCGGAGGGGTGTTGGTGGTGGTTTCTTTTTGTTTTGCTAAATTTCCGCTAGAGATTTGGTGTAGAAGTCGATATTCGCTGACAGAGTTGATGGTGCATCCAGAGCCGAATCTTGAGCGGAGATTAGAACAAAGGAATAATCAATGGTTGGGTTAGACAAGTTTAGAATGGAGCTCCATAGCTGCTGCTTGGTCTTCCACTTGGGTATCCACCGCCACCACCGCTTGGGTATCCACCACCGGATCCTTGGCTAGCCTGATGAAGTTGAGCTACTTCAATAGCTTGACGGATGTTTTCAAAATCAATGCCGACGACACGTCCACCACCGACTCCAGGAACACCGTAGCTGCTCGATGGTGGTCCATAACTTCCGGATGGTGGTCCGTAGCTACCGGATGGGCCACCACTTGGATAACCACCGCCGAAGCCACCACCGCCGCCGCCGGAATAACCACCAGCTCCGCTAGATGCCTCTTCCTTGATGATGATGGATTTCAATTGTTCCAAGAGCGCTGGATCGACGTTGGCACCTTCGTTCGATTGGTAACCACCCGACGAGACTTGAGTGTAACCGCCACCGCCTCCTCCTAAGCCACCACCGCCGGAGTAACCGCCGAAACCACCCCCGAATCCACCGCCGCCGCCGCCGCCGAATCCTCCCGATGGCCTGTTGTAGTTGTAACCCGATGGTGGCTCGGCTAGAGTGACCCCTGCCATTCCCACGAGTACGCACTGTAACATCGATGACTTTTCGTTCAATTACATCTTTTTTTGTAAGCCTGGCAATTAAAGTTCCTATACCTTATTATAATTTTTTTGACTGAATTGAATTATTTTAACAAATATTATTAAAGGAATACTACAATAGATTAAACTTATTATAATTACTTCCAAGAGTAAATTGATTCCTAAATTAATCAAACTGACGTGTAACGTTTCCTTTTTCATCGATGAATCAATTGTTTAAAAAATAACGATAATTTTATTTATCGGAGCTTTACTAATTCCGCTAATTTGTTAAATAGAAAACTGCAATTTATTATATCAGAGAAAAAACACATGGCTAAAAGAAAAATCGGTCGCGCACTGAGAAGAAAAAACAAATGTACGAAATAAGCGATCAAACGTATCTAATAATCAAGTAAGCGCAGTGGTGAACGCGGAAGCGGTGAATCTATTGAGAAATGGCTTTTCAGATGCCGAAGAGAAAGTGCACGCGCGTGCTCGTGATTACAAGTATATCCGATACGTTTATCCACTTTTCTAACGATCGATCACTTCGTGTACAACACTTTCGTTCACTCCGAAACAAAAAAAAATAAATAAATATATGAAATTAAAGAAATACTTTTCTATGTAAATATAGAAAATGTTCACTTTCACTCTGCATGTACTATGCAAGAAGGAAACACTCGGTTAAAAGGAAAAGAAAAATAGAAATGAGTGAATCTAGAAGAAAAAGCTTACCGCGATCAGAGGATTCATGTTGGCTTGAGCTGTGCTGCGGCTGCTCTGTGACTCCTGGGATGGTGCACCCGGGTGTTTTATACCTGTGGCCGGTGGGGGACTTTCGGCGGGGGCATCCAAAGCGAGTGAGAGTAAAACGCCGCCGCTCATGCTGCTGCGCCTCCTCTCTTTTCTCTCTCCGACAGATAGCCTCTCACCTCAGACGTACACACACACATACGTACGTCATCCTCAACAGCGGCCGAAAACGCGCTTGTGCGATTTACGCTGCTTGTAATATACTTTCGTTGTCCTAGACCTAGAGAAAGATTTTAATATTTTTTTTTACGCCAGCATGTATGACCATTTTAGGGAATACTTGGAGTTTGAACGATTAAGATTAAATATGCTTGTGGAAAAAGCTACATGGCTTTTACGTTTTCCTGTTGAAATTTTATCGATTATGTGACAATAAACTGATAATCAATAGTAATGAGCATGAAGTTTACAAACTAGTAACTACTGTTCGGAATGTTCTTTTCTGATAACATTTATTAAGGGAGGACCTCTTTTGTTTGGTAGATGTACAAAAATTTAAGGTTACTCTTTAAAACGAGTCCACCCTAAAACCTTAAATCTCTGCAAGAAAACATAGATATACCTGGATAGAATTGGAATTATCGCTTTGAAACATAAGTTGGCAGCCTCTCTAATGCCACTTGTTACTTTAGGTACATTATTAATCGATTAGAAATTCACTGTACGTGTAAATATGCTATGCGACCGGCTTTTGATCTTTTCTTCTATTCCAAAAAGAAGAGTGCACAGCAGCGAGAGATAAAAAATGCATGTCGGTTATGTAAACGTACGTAGCAGGTGGACCGAGAGTGAAATTATTATGTAAAAAAAAGAGCATCGTACCGATCATTTCAAAATAGCTCACGTACCATCAATGGTGCTGTAATGTCTTTGTACGCCGCGGTGCTTTCATCTTTGCGCGTGTAAAACAAGTCACTTGCGCATTCTGATTGACGCGCATCAAGTTTGAAATCGTAAGAAACATCGACACTCTAAACTTATATACGTGACGATTTGACGACGCAAACGTTAATCAGTTGGCGTGAATTACAATTGGTTTGTTGCGCGTTTCGAGACGAATGCAAATCTCATTTGGATGATACGTGGAATTTGTTATTTGTTGCAATCACGTTACTATTACTACATAGCAAGGTCTTGCAGAGTCCGAAAGCAAATCGTAGTTCTTTTATGACACTTTATGATACATAATTTTCATTACTCGATGGATTCATAGCAATATAGCAAGTGTTTGTAAGAAATAATTTCTTTTCAAAATAAAATTGGAACACTAATAAAAACTGTTTTGCTAAAATAAAGAAACACGAATAAATGCTCTTACTAATATCTTGTATTGAAAAATAGAAGTTAAAAATTCCTTATTTCAATTACAAAGAATATTTTACTAAGAACAAATATATGATTGTATATTTTTTCAATAAAAAACGTTGACAAGTAAGAATGTAAGATTTTTTGCGATGTAAAGATTATGCAGTAATTAAAAATGCAATTAACGTGTAGACATTGAAAATACTATGTACGTCAAAACTGCCATCAGTACACTTAACACCTTGTTAAAGCCGCTAAGCAGAAACGCTTTCAAATTCAAATCGTGTTTACTGAGGCTTACAGTGTAAGTCTTCATTCAACTATAACATCAAGACGTCACGTGTGGAAATTAAATAAGCCATATCGCAAATATTTCCTCCTGTGTTTTAAAAAATTAGCTGCAAATTTGAAGATTTTGTTAAAGATGAAGCAGCAAAAAATTGTCCTTTGTTTCACGTCGCAGCGAAATCTATGTCACGGTCGTGTGACGCTGGAATATACGTGATCTCAATTACACCCGAATTGAAGATATGTAACACCACACGCGCGCATCGAAAAAAACACATCTTTGCACGTACTAGAAAGTCGCCGAGTAATACTAGTGGCGTCACTCGTCTAATAGATTAAGCGAACACACGAAGAAAAAAAACCTCGCTTTTATTTTTATGTTTTCTTTACACTCAAACCCATGCGAATTTTTGCTTTGTCATCGACGTATTGTGTAATCTAACGTAATCAGTCTTTATTAAGAACATTTATAAAAATACTAGGTACGATGCGAGACGTAATATATAATAAGGCTAAACCTAATAACTTTGTAATCAATTTATAGTGTGAGTTCTAGAATTGTAGATTAAGTGATATTAACTTATATATTATATTTTGAAGCTTTGTTGCACAGCTTCTTTTACGAGCCCATTTTACAATGCTAAACGAAACGCTAGTGAGAGAAAAGCTGCCGTTAAATTTGGGTAACAATCATAATGTAAAAACGATTTGTATCTCGTTGTAATTCCTTCGTGTTTGGCTTTGAGTTTAATAAAAATCATCGGATCATTTAATTAAAAATCGAAAATGGTTGAATTGCACATTTAATATAGTCTACTACTAAATTCATTTCAATGGCTATGAAAAAAAAGTGAAAATGGACATAATACATAATAAAGTTTCACAATTTTATTCTTCTTCGACTTTTTCTTTGGAAGTTTATTGGTACAAAAGGATGATCGCGAAATAAACTGGATTGCAGAGTCATCAACACTTATAACACTTATTTGTATTCTATAATTTTAATTAATTTCGACACCAACAGAGGCTAAAGTCAGTAATTTTGAAATGATTCTATTATTATGAAATCAAAGTACAATTATTAATTCTATTATTATACGTACATCAAATTCTTTTATATCAATTTTAAAAAATATTAATAAAAAATATTAAATATTAATACTAAACTTGTACGTCACTGTCAAATTCATGCGTCATGCAAATCTAAACTTGCTTTTTATTTCGAACCGTCATAACTCAAATCCAAATAATTGTAGATTAGATTATACGTACCGTGGAAAAAACGACAAACGTAAAATTGCAATCTCGACTGTATAACAGAACGTTTGAATCACATCGCTCTCTCCAATGCTCTGTTATACACTCAAGTGAAAGGATGGTTTTTCCTTCCGGAATCTTTTTTCATTTCAATGACATTTTGCATTGTTCTGACGCTTCAGTGACAATTTTCTCAGACTCTTTTTGTTCATTCACTCTCGTACCGAAGAATTTACGAAGTTACTAGTTTTATAAAACACACAAACACACAAACACACACACACACACACACACACACACACACACACACACACACACACACACACACACACACACACACACATTGAAATATAGAGGCACCCTCGTTAAGGTACATATTGACAAAATAGAACTTATGTCATATTGGGTGAAAGATCTTTTTGTAAAAGTACACCATTCAACAATCCAAAAAAAATTGGCCTCACGGTAATTCTCTGTAATTATGAATAAAGATTTGCATCTATCATATTTTTATAGGTTAATAGTAATTTATGGAAACTAGATAGAAACAAGCTCAAGTCAATAGTTTTCGTTATTTCTTTCTTCTAAAGATCTGATATAAGCACAGCTGTATTATATTCTCTTCAGTAATCACATGGATCTTTGATCCGTAATATGCCTCACAATGGCATTTTTTAGCCTGTTGGCTTTATCTGCTTCACAAAGCTGGAAAGTTGATTGATGCTCCTCTTATTGGACGCCCCATTCTAATTAAGTAATTTATTTGAAAATATTTTATTTTGTGCATGGTAGACTAATTAAATAATGAATCTATTTCTAGGTAGTTATGAAATACCTCACCAAACTATGGCGTTCATATAATTTTTTCTCTATACCGAGATCCAAACTCTAGGTCTGGTCTAGAAAAATTCAACCGTAAAAAGTTTCTATCCGAAAATACAATAAAACACTCACTTGGCATTCATAACTGTTTGTACTTACAATAGTTATATTAGTTTTATAATATGATTTCAAGTTATAAGATTGGAGGTAAAACTAGTGATCGCTCACATTTTATACGATTTCGCTATAGAATCATTCAATTTAACTATACTGACGTGAAGTTTAAAATGCACATGTTTGATAAAATCGTTCGTTATATATAAATATTTAAAAATGTTACACATTTATTTCTAGGTCAATAGAGAATGACCTTCACGGCTTAGAATTCAAATAAGAAAACAAGGTAGAGATTATATGTGGTATACAGTCGTTATAGAACTAAAATTAGTAACGTACAATCAAAGCATTAACTTATTTTTACAGAATCTGGATGAGGTTGGCCAAAAAATTATACTACATAATATTTATCGAAAACTGCATTCAAAATGCATAAATAAACGTTCTCAAGAAAGTAAATTATGTATCTTAACTTGCAAGTGCTTTTGCAATGAATTGCGTATTCACTCGTTAAGGTGGATCCGCCTTACATATGCTGACTTTTCCTATTTTTCACTTGCATGAAAAGGCATAATTTACATTGAGACCGTCGCACATTGTCGTTCATTCTCCTTGCTTTAAATAGCCGTGTAGTAAGTATAGGTTCGCTGTATACGTTGACAAACATGAGATGGTATATACTTTGGTTTTATTTTTTATAGAAAAATGTTCTGCTCAAATAGTTATTGATAAATTTGTTAGTGTTTCAATAGTCTTCTCTTTGAGATGCTTAGTTTATTTTAAGAAAAAAAATATGTATTAAGAATAATTATGTACGTATATTTGAGCAGGACATATATATGACCTTTTATTATTGTTTTTATGCTCTTTTTAAATTTCACAAAACATAAGAAAAAATTTTACTAATTTTTAAATGAAATATTTTACTTTCACAAATATCCATTATATTTTTAATTATTTTTCCAAAAGTACAAAAGTATTTTTAAATTGTACAATTTTAAGATAATTAGATTTTTTATTTTTTTTTCTAAAGATAAATCAATTTATCTATCAAAGATAAATCTAAATTTTCCAAATAAATGAGATACTTTCAAAGAAAAAAAATGCAACAGAATTTTTAGTTTTGCAGGGTTAATAAACACGTATACAAAAATCAAATTCGTGGAAGCTTACTAATTCCGTATCTCATATGCTCAACCTCAAACGAAAGTGAAACCAATAAAAGTGGCGCCGAATATATCAAGTGAATAAATATCACATATAAATAAA